CAGGGGGGGTCTGGAGAATATGGTTCCTGAAAAGGCTCTACTACCATGCCAATGGCACACGATCGAGTTATTGGCTTCTACAAAGATCCCGTAGACAGCTTTTCTCGCCCTGTGAATGTTGCGGAGAGCTGGGCGGCCTACCATTTCGAGCTGCATGCTCGGAAATGTGCATACTGTCACAATTCCTACGAAGTTTATCTCAACCAGGAAAACCTATGTGAGGTGGGCCATGGTCTAGCCCAACAAATAGCCCGGTAAGTCGATGGCTTTGAGGCAACAGCTTAGTGGTTGACATTGTGAATCATAGATACATATACATGAAACCTGATGGCGAAATTTACAGTACTATTGAGGAAGACAATAAGTTGGTTCGCCTCGAACTGCCTACCGGATATGTAGAAGTCCAAAGTCTCGTCAAAGCTGTCGAACGCAGTATACGTTATAACTCACGAGAGCCCTACACTGGTATGGACAGATCTTATCATGTTTCTCCGCGAACGGATCTGGTCTCTACAAGCAGGTCTCACCCGATCAAAGTTGAGCAAGAATCGACAAACAAACGAAGTTCTCAGTCGCGCGACGGTGAAATCGTTGATTGGCCATCTACTCCATCGCATGAAAGAGACTTAAGCAAGCGTCGCCTCTCTGTGGAGTACTGTGATGTGTACACCAGCGAAGAGAAGTTATCAGATGTCTCTAATAAAACTGAAGCCCAAGATCTTTTCAAGGGCTTTGGCGCTATACCCAAGGGATTGTCTTGCATTGACCAAGATTCAGACTCGCCTTTCACCTGTACAACAGATACAGAAGATAAAGATAAACCAGGTACACGGAAAGCAACGTTAGACATGCCCCCATACAATAAAGGTCGATTCACGAACTCCGATCATGAAGACGACGTATCAGTCACATTGTCTGACGATGATTCCATATTTTCTGTTCCGTCACTTGCTTCATCTGCTAGTAAAATGTTGAAAAGTAGTGGGTATTTGGTAACACAAATCGCGATAGCAACCAAAGAGGTCCTCTCCATATTTCGAGATGACGGGATTCTTCAACCACTTTACACAACTGCAATATATGGCCCTATTGGACCACGAAAGTTTGGGAACACATTCAGACGGCTGCTAAAATCATTCTCCGAAAATCTAAAAGACGAGGCACAAGATCGCTTGGACTCTCTTGCTGCTCGTTTAGTGGCACTGAACGTACGAGACATCGCGGACGCAATATTAGAATGATACCAACCGGGCCATGCACCCGCATTAGATGCAGATGGAGGAAAAGGACAATTGCCCTTGGACTATGATGATCAGGACCCATCAGATGAAGATGCGTAAGTCGACGAGACCATCTTCGATGATCTTACAAATGTGCGAGAGTTTCTGATCCAGAGTACAGCATTCAAGCTACTTCAGATTAACCTGCAGCGCTTTGTATTCTCGAAGAAGCCGTCACTCACGGTTTCGAATAAGCAGGACTACAAGATTCACTCAGAAGAGCGAACAACTCAATTCCACGAAGTCCTTGACCGGCTCTCTCAACCCTCAAGACTTAGACAGACTGCCCTAGACGATGACTGCATTGGCATACTACAACATAATCACGCCCTACCCCAGCTCCAGACATACACATTATCTGTTTTGGGGGAGGGTTGTTTCGTTACTGAGTACTCCAAATTACTGTCCTGGAGTTACAGTGTCCAAAACAAGAGCATTGAACATCACTTAAGCTCCCAGATGACAACAGGCTGTACGCCTATAGTATTAGACATTGTCAAGTACTTGCAAGATGTCGACACTTGCAACTTAGACCCCAAGGGCCAAACGCCGGACAGGCAAGCAGACACGAGTTTCTTTCAGGTTTTGTTGACCGAGAAAGTGAAATCCGATTGTACTACAGTTCTAGACCTTCTCAGTGGAGATCTCGCACTTTTGACTTTACGCAGACCACTACGGGAGGCCATTGCGTCTGCACCGAAAGGTACTATAGAATTGTCTTCCATGAACAACACGTCTTCCATGAACAACACGTCTCCCCTGAACAAGGCCAAGGCCTTCTTCGAGAATTATACGATGGCAGAGTGGGATTGGTGGCCTTTGACCCTTCGCATACCTGATATTGCAGCAACGTTGACCAGGTCCGCTGCTAGTCGATCGTCAAGCTCTTCAGTATCATCGAAAGCCAGTCAACGCTATACTCCCACAAAAGCCTCTACGGTACCAAGATCAAGGAGCAACTCTCAGACTACTGGTAAAACTGATACTAACTCTCTGGCAGCTGACAACGACAACTCATCACCACAAACTTCTGGTCAATCAGCGACGGTTCTCGCAGCCACTTCTTCAGATCCATCAAAGCGCGTCCTTTTTGCCGTGCAAGGGTCGCGGTGGTCTTTAGAAGTTGAACAGATCAGCATCACAACTCTGCTGAATGATCCTATGTTCTTTCGTGAGCTCAAAACACGGTACAGAAAGCATCGAAACTGGATCAAACGGCTCGCATCACCATTTCGCTTCCGGTTCTGTCGATTCGTAAAGGTACCGCGTCTTCTATTACTACACCTGTAAAATACCACAAGTCTAACTCTTACAGCTGGAGAAGTTTGATACCGGGCGCGTCCTTTCCCAAGGCGAGGACCTCCCAGATTATCCCGGTTTCGAGAACGACTACGAGTACGACCCAAGACCAGGCACAAACCCCATGATCTCTCCCAAGACATTCGCGGTCTGTCCCAAAGTCTGCGATATAGATTGTAGATGGTCATGGCTCAACCCGTGGCATGATTGCGTGAGCCTGCCTTGTCGTTCATACAGACTGCGCTGTGTTCCAAAGAAAAAGAGCGAGTTTGACATACAGTCCGACGACACCATGGCTGTTGCTTGCGGCTTAGAGGCTGAGCATGCGATATCCTTTGCGTTCATGGCGGTATATCATCTCGTTCCGTTACTTGCTGCGTTCGGCTTCTGGATGTATTGGCTGATGAAGTTTCCTGGCGATTGGCATAATGCAGCTGTGCCGGTGCTCACGGTTTTGGCGCTTTTCGCAGTATTATGGGTGCTTTTTGGCAAGCATCTTGGGACGTCCTAGCACCAGCCAACAGTCTCGCTTCGTTACATGTCACTTGTCTCGAGCGAGAGTGGGACCATGCACACTTTGACACGCGATCATAGCATAATGATGTGATAGCCCCGCCACACAAGCCCCTTTACCGTTCTGACTTAGGTCGGTGTTCAACATGCATAGATGATCGTGATCTGTTTGACACACATGGTCCATTACACAATTACGCATTGCATGCATACTACTGGGGTCCAAAATCCCTGGCGCCACCAATGCATGCAATAAGCCTGTTGAACCGACATGGCAACGGAGAAGGAACGCGTGGGGGCAGCCGAGCCGAACGTGCATAGGTTACACGGAGGCTTCCCCCGCTGCACGCAATATTTCATTAGGATAATATGCATGCAACGTCACAGCAATGTGGTCACCGCGGAGATGCTTGAAGCACGTGGATCGGAGTAAGGCGATGATAAGATAACGTCTTACTTGCTTCATCCGCCACCCACACCGAACCGAGTTCGCAACGTATTGAGCCGCCGCAGCGTCTCGGGCATGTCGTTGTTGCCGCTTTCGGTGCGCGTCAAGCGGTAAGCCGAGTAATCCCTGTTTTCCTGAAGGAGGGTATCGATGAGGGTAAAGTCACCAATTACACATTGACCGGAACTGAGAAGTTCAACAGCGTCCATATGGCCAGACTCAGAGGATGGCAATAGGGCATCCTCCTCGTTGTCGGGATCTATGCCCAAATCCGACAAAGTATCGGTTCGGTGTAGCACACCTCGCTCCTCGTCATCGGCATCTTGGTCCCGGGCCGCGTTGTCATCCACCGCTGCCGAGTCTGACGTGGTTCGGGTGTCGGTGGTGGTGGTGGTAGTGGTGCTTGGTGCACCCCCACCAGCTGACAGCTTCGCTAGCTTCTTCTTCAGCTCCCGCCTCTTGACGTGTACCGAGACCATAACGAGCTGCAGGAACAAGATGCATATGTCAAGGGCCCCAAGCTTCCACCTGCTCGTGGGTCCCTGCTGCCCGATGAAGTCTATCATCAAGCCGCCATGCAGATAGCCTCGGGTGTCCTCGCCAGCCGAAGGCGCGGGATATGTAAGATGCAGGAGGAAATTGACTCCAAACGAAAACAGGAGTAGCGGCAGAAAAGGCCGCGGTTCGTCTGGTGGGCGGGTGAGGGTCGCGGTGTCGGGGATCGGCGTCAGTAGAAAGCCATGTGTAAAGATCTTGAACAGAAACCAGAAGAATGAGCAGCTGCGGCCATGGTTAGCACAAAGAAGAAGCAGCAGCAGTGTGCAAGTGGTAAGCGTACTCCAAGTGGTAGAGTGTGATGAGTTCCAGGTAGACGACCATGTCCAGGTCGCGCAGAAGCTCGCCCAACATCTGGATGCGCTTCCTCTTCGCATCCAGTCTTCTCTGCTTGGTTGCCTTGTCCTTCTCGCGCTGTTCAGCCTCTTCAAAGCGTGCTAAGGCATCCTCCAGATCGGCCAGGTGGGATGCAGCATCATTCTGGCGCTGTGGAGCTCGAGACGACTCGGCCTCATCGTTCATGGCGCAGCGAGAGGAGTTTTGCCTGCCGCCCCGTCTCTCATTGAAGGCGACGTGGTAGGTTGGTGTTGGTAGAGATGCTTGACCCAGGCAGTCGTTGTTCGCGAAGCTCTGGTGATGTAGGTACAGCTGCGCGCATCGGGCCTGGAACATCAGGAAGGGCCGATGGCCGAAGTGGTGAGATAATCGATTGCTCCGCATCCTGAAGCCATACACAACCCACTCTGCACGTGTGATAGCGCTTCCAGAGCTTCTGTACAGCCTCAGTTTGCGCATCCACACATAGCGCTGTGCTCCAAGACTGCAGGTTCGTGCAAAGAACCTGTCACTCTATTCACATACCCACGCGACACCTCCGCCACCTCCGCATCTGCATACCACCCACCATGTCTTTTGGACCTCCCAACAGCGCGCCGCTTCCCTCTTCTTTCGATGAGAATGCGTATGTAGAGACTCAGACATTGAATCATGTGCACATGGAATTCGTCTACTAACCGATTTGCTCAGCGACTTTTACAATGAAAACACCATCGACAAGATATGGAGACGCCTTCGCGAAGAGCCCCTCGTTCCCCTCGGCTGCGGTCTCACCGTCTGGGCCATTGTCGGCGCGACCCGCTCAATGCGAAAAGGTGACCACAAGATGACCAACATGTACTTCCGCCGACGTCTATATGCTCAAGCCTTCACAATCGCTGTACTGGTAGCAGGAAATATGTACTGGCAAAAGGATCGTGTGAAGCGCAAGGAGTACGAGAAGCAGGTTGCTCAGAAGGAGCGCATGGACAAGAGGGACAGGTGGCTGAAGGAGTTGGAGATGCGAGACGAGGAAGACAAGGCCTGGAAGGAGAGGATGGCCAACAAAGCGAGGGGAGCAGCAGGAGAGGCCAAAGGTGTCACTGACATGGTGGCTGAGAAGACAAAGGAGCTGAAGGATCAGACTGTCGGAAAATAAACATGAGAGGCCATAAAGAGCAGCTACGGTTGGAGATGGTAGCATCACGAGGATTGCTTTCAAGAGGAGGATTATAGAGGGACGAAATGGAGTGCATATCGCCCTTCGAACGACACACCCTCGTTGTATATATACTGCACACTGTACGAGTATGGTCTGGGAATTTGGGACCGTTCCATCATGAGCAATCTGTCACTTCACGAACTGTAACATAAAATAACACATCATACCCAATCACATATTCACATTTTGTCTATACTGCCGCTCGCCACTTCAAATTGACATTGAACAGAGAGAACAACATTTCACCTCCTTGCTGTGAACAAGAGTGGTCTATATATTGTGACTTCAGTTCATTGTTCTCTCTGAGTCAACCCCCAACGTCTGCCATGATACTGTCCAGACTCGAAATAGCAATGTTTTCTACCCCCTTAAGTTCAACGCCATGCTGCGAGCAGTGCGATACACCCCGGACATACGATCATTCCATCGCAACCCATACGACTAGCAAGCCACTAGGACTGTTCGAAGCGCACGACGTCTGTGTCATTTGCCAATTGCCCTACGGCAGCGAGAATCTCGCCTTCGAAATGCTCGACATGCCACTAGAAATCACGAATATCGTGGGCTGCAGACACGTCTTCGGATCTGCTTGCGTCAAACAGTATGAAACATGCTATCCTCGGGACGCTGGGGTCGATGCGAGGTTCTCGGCTCTGGCAGATGTATAGAGATGTGGTGCCTCAAATGAACAGGGTTAGAGATGAGTCCTGTTTGGTAGCTATCGAGGATGAGTGGATGAAAATGTTTCCAAACGATCAAAGAGATTGGGTTGAACTGGTACTCAATATTCTCTGGATAGTGGATCTGGTCACTCTAGAAGAAGACGCTCTAGAGGATACGTCACAGGAAGCTTGAGTGAGATTTGAGAATACCGTAGCGTAGGAAACATGTCACCAAATATCATTGGCTGTATACACGAGCAGTTCTTTGAGACAGTAACGACGAGAATGATGTCTTCCTGGATATGTTTGGTGACCACAACGTAGTTTGACCGATGTACTAAGTCTGACAGGTTTTGCTCGCCATAGATGTAAATGCATAGGAAGGAAGAGAAACTCGAAGCGAATTACTTGCTTGAAAACAAAAAAAGAAGATGACCTAGCATCCTGGTCGCGATAACAATGGGCGCTGAAAGTCTGTAGTAGCCAAGCTGAGGAAGAGCATGGAGAACTAGCGCCGGAACATGCCGCCCAAAGTCTTGGCAAAGGACACGCTTACGTCTGTGTCGGCGCAGCGTTGACAGCTCCGCGTTCACTCTTTCCGAATCAGCAACGATGAGGGTTCTCCAAGGTTTTGTTTCTTCCCTCTTACTCTCGGGCGCGGCCATTGTGTCTGCAGCTTCTTCTTGGAGTTTTGAAGATGCTACCGTGACTATTTCCAGCAAAGGTGCTGGTGTTGGCGGAGGTTCAAAGGACAAGTGAGCTCAAGCTTGCATTCGGTGCAATGGTTGCAGGACTAACTATCATACAGACTGAGTCCCTCAACACCGCTGGGTAAATCTGTATCTTTGGGCGCGACCGATACGTTGAAGCTTGTCCTCACAACCCTCGACGGAAGCACTGCGAAGCGACCTCATCAGGCGTTCCTTACTCTGACTGAGCCAACGATGGGCTTGGAGGAGTCTTTTGTATTCAACGTGAAGGACAGTGGCAAGGGAAAGGTGGATTTGGTATGTTGTACGTGCCAATGGCTGGCAGCACAGCTAACATCTCCAGTCTCACAAAGACCTACCCCACCAATTCTTGACCTCTGAGAAGCCTATCGTCGCATCGATTGTCATCGGATCGTTTGGGTCTTCCGCACCATACAAGAGCAAAGCGTTCGATCTCGCCGTTACCCGCGACCCTAGCGTCCCCCTCAGCGTCCCCGCGCCGCCCGTCCGCTACGCCGCCGAATCTGAGATTCACCACATCTTCCGCGATGACCCCAAGTCTCCACCCAAGATCATAACGATTGTCTTCGCGGCTGCTGTTGCTGCTGCGCTACCTATCCTGCTTGGCGCGTGGGCTATGCTGGGCGCAAATGCTAATCATCTTAGCAAGGCGCTTGGCAACGCACCTGTCTCGCATGGCCTCTTCTATGGCTCCATACTGGCCATGGAGGGCATTTTTTTCCTATACTACACTAGCTGGAACCTCTTCCAAACTTTGCCCGCAGCAGCTATCGTAGGAGCTGTTGCCTTCTTGAGCGGTAGCCGGGCCCTGTCGGAGGTTCAAGAGCGGAGACTCGCTGGACAGAGATGAACAAAGCTCAAAACTCGGTCTGATCATGTACGTTGGATGTATAAAACTTAGATGTAAGAGGAAACACCAGAAGAGGGAGACGTCACTCTGAGGTATGAGAGAAGGCAATATTGCGAGTACTACCACAGAAAAACATGAATGTGGAGTAGTTTGCTTAAAAGTTATAGGCTGTGGCTTCACTGCGATTGCAATCAGTCCACGCATGACTGAAAAACTCGTATTCACGTCTGTTCCCTGTGTTTTTCCCACTCTCTGCGTGTTTGAATGAAACTTTGTCTCGACTAAAGGGTAAGCATATACTGAGTGCGATGGGCTACCCAGATATGTCAACTTCTTTCTGTACGTAGCCTCCTCGTCACAGCGCTGCTTGGGTATGACGCAGCTCGACGCAGCTTCAAATTGCATCTCCCCACCATCATCATCCAGTCAACACTCATCTTTCCCCAAGTGAACGTTCCTGACACCTCCACTCGTGCAATGTTTTAGCTTCATCTTACGAGATACTTTAGTAACTATCAACAGCCTGAAAGAACACTAAAACGATCGAGGCGCAAGGCTGGCGCAATACGTCAGTCTCACTTCTCGCAGACAACATCCGGGCAGATAATACATCCTCCCCTAGTCAGAATCAGATTAGGATTATGCATTGGTTTCAAGAAGAAGAAATGTTACTCTTAAGAAACCTTCTTAGCGTAAAGCAGACATTCTGCTAATATAAGGAGAAACAAGCCACTACTAGTAGTTACATAGTTGTTAGCCTATGCGGGTTTTCTGCAAGTGTAGGCGCTACCTAGGACAGATAAGAGTCCAGTAAAGAGAGACCACTAACGAGGAGTTAAAATCAGCATATTAGCTGAATCCGCAAACTACGCATGCGAATACCGAGAAGGAAAGTTTCTGATTTGGAAGGCAAAACCACAAATATCACTATACCACATTGCTTTGAACTCTTTGGGTAGAGTCACTCGTTGTAGTCCCGCTAAGAATGGTTGAAAAAGCTCTATTGACTATCTCGAACTAAGAGCCGAGGTCTTTGCTTTCTAAACCCAGTTCAGTAAACCATCGGCATTCTCTCGTCCTACAATACCCTCTTCAACCATCTGATCCAACACCTTCGGCACATCTGCACTCCTCCCCTTCCAAGTCTCTCTCGACATTTCCGAACCACTCGCGACCGTCTTCAATATCTCTGCTACAACTGCCTTGGCATCTGCCGTGCTCCGCACTCCAGTCGCACCAGCTTTCTCTGCGTAGCTTCTACCTCCTCGATAGAAGACGCCAGCATTGGAAACCAGAGTTGATCCGCTCTTCGTCCAAGCAGGCTTCGCGTTTTCGAAGAGCGAGATCCGGAAGCGGAAGAGATCGGTATCACCTCTCGCTATGAAGACATCGGCCAGTCGCGATGCGGATAGGATGGAAGTGTACGGTGCAGCGGATAGCTTTGTGAGTAGATTTTGGGTCTGCGTAAGAGCTGTCCATTGGATATCGATATCTGTGCTGAAAGTGGGTGCTGATGGAATGTATTGAGTGCCATCCGCAAGTGCTGAAGCGAGATCCATGAGCGCGTCAGCATAGGCGGACTGAACGTTGGTTGATGCGAGATCAGGACTTGAACGTTGTCCGGCGTTCTGTACCATGTCGCTGAAAATTTGCTCCACGGTTTCTGCATACTCTGTCGATGTCGTTCTGCCACTACGGTATTGTACTTCCGCTACGCTGGCCTGGAAACTGGCAGACGCTAGGATAGCGTCATCTTTGGGTGTTGTTGTAGCTTCTTCTGGTGTAGAACCTATCGAAAGTGTTGGGCCTGCTTTGGGCTCATCGACAGCTTTCGGGGCTGGTGACTTGTCAATAAGGTCTATGAGCGTCGGGATTTTGTTCGTCGCTGTATCTATTCCATCTTGGGCTTTCTTCTCTATGTTTGGTAGGTCTGTAGCGGAATTATACAGTCCTAGTAATGTTGTCAATGCACTAAGTTGCGCTGTGCATGTTTCCAAAATGCTTTCTGGTGTCAGCGGCTCTTCAACAGTGGCCCAGTCGCCTGGGGCCTCCGAACCCCCCGAATCGGTCTCCGTGTCTTGTTCCTGCGTTTCTGCTGGCTGTTGTCGCTCACCTTCCCAGGCCTCCTGGTACTCACCGGATGCTTGGATCTTGGCAATTTCAGCTTGCATCTGAGAATACTCTTGCTGTTGGTTTTCCAAACACTTGGTAAAGATTTCAACCGCTTCCTCGAGTAATGGTCTTGCATCATGCTTTGCGGTGGCTTGCGGGCTAGCTTCCAGACCGGCTTCCGCTAGTGAGGTGAGCACCTGCGCAGCGTTGAAGAGGATGTCGGTGTTCGTTGGATTCAGTGAGATGGCAAAGCGATGCGACATCAAAGTCTCCTCTAGCAAGGCAATCCTGTTTCCAAAATGTGAGATGATGCGCTCATCTTCGGAAATGGTGTACTGGAGATTTGCTCTAGTCTTATTAGCATTAAGCATACAATTAGATGAAAAACGCCTTACTTATTGTAGGCAAGGTCGAATGACTGAGGATGACGCTTTAAGCCTTCATTGTAGGCGTCAATCGCTCGGTTGAAGAAGCGAACGGCTTTCGCGGCGTCGCCTGCGCGCCATTTCCCTGCCGCTTGCTCGAATTCATCTGCAGCCTCAAGAAAGTCATTCTCGGTCTCTGGCTCTGGCGGCTTTATCTTGCCCTTAGGCTTCGGCTTCAAAAATTTCTTCGGTGGCATAGTGATGGTTGGACGTAATAAAGAGGTTGATGTAGTGCGGGCCGTATTAATAGCTAGGTATACGTTGGTAATCGACGTCTAAGTGGCAAATTTGCGCAGGTGCGACAAACGATTTCTCAGCAAATGGACATTGCGCGAAACACAATTCTCAATCAAGCGACCTCGACAGGACTGTGTCTATTGCCATATCACTAGGTCGCGAGCTTTCTGCTGCACCAAATCTTCCCGATCGCCCCGCCCCCACTTGCCCGAGCCTCACGAACCTCGATGCTTCCACAATCTTCACCTCAACTTCTCCACGTTGAATTCATCCCACAGCAAGGTCTTGTCTACCAGAAACCCATTGTCGTCAAACACCACCCCCTCGTCTTTTAGCAGCTGCAATTTCGAGTTTTGGTTCTGTCCGCTGGGGGCTTTCTCCCAGTCACCCTTGTATCCGCCAACGAACTGTTAATATTAGTGCCGACGCTCGCATACTGGAGCAAGCATACGTACACCAGTACTGGCGATACATCGATGACACGGCACCTCTGGACAAAACGGATTGACACGCAGCGCGCCGCCTACCGCACGAGGGGAGCTGTTCAAGGCCTTTGACATGGCGGCGTAGGTCGTGACGCGTCCTTCCGGAATCATCTGGAGGGCTGTATAGACGCGCTCTTGATATGGCGTAACCTTTTGCTGCTTGGACATGCTGAGGATGCGATGCAGTTGCATTGACGCGTCTTCGGGACGTTTTACGTTGGCGCGCTCTCACGTGGTGTGCTTTCAGATTGACCACTCACAGACCAGAGTCACATGAGCTACCCGAATCGGATGTTTTGCAGCAAAAGAAAATCACTGAAGACACAGCAAGGACAGAACATGAAAAGAACAACAAGATCGCTATACAATTGGGAATCTTGCCTCAAGCGGTGCTCTCAAGAACTCGTATGAATACACACAAGAGTGGACCAGGAAAAGTCAAAGACTGATTGGAGTACTGCCTAACAAATCCTTCAAAAGGATATGAGACTCTGTACAAAGGTACTGAGTGAACTTCAAGGACCGGTACTCCAGCACATACGCTTGGCTACCACCCCTAAGATCGCCATCAATGCTGCGACCAAGAAGTGACCAGTCTTACCTGGACTTCAGGCGCCTCGTAGGACGTGCGGTTCTCAAGATATACATTATCCACGCAACGATCTTCTCCGCTATCGGGACCTTTTGCCATTGTGATGGGCATGAGAACAAAAGAATGTACACTCGACCGCACGATCGGCCTTCTTACTTCGCACAACACACTTCAAAAGGATACACGTCCGACGAACTGCAGCTAGCAACATAATGAGGCGTCATTTCTGGCAACCACCCTCGATGACTGCCCTATAGTCTCACAGATGTCTCAGGTCGGCTTGACCACCAGCGCGGTCCAGCGTCTTTAGGTTTGGCACTAAACAGTCATCATCAATTCCGCACGGTCACCTCGCAACGACTTGCTCTGATCTGGTACCGCAGCGGGCCGAGCTCCACCAGAGCTCACAGGGCTGTATAGCACTTACGTCTGGTGATTCGTAGACACTGAAGTAGTCGCGCCGTGCCGCCCTCCCTTATCCTTCTTGCTCCGTTTGACTAACGGGTACGATCAAAGCATGAACCTGGACAGGGTCGTTATGGCCCCGCAGTGTTCAGTCTCTTACAAACACATACTGTCAACGACTTATGTCATATCTGTGATATCTACGTCGGCGGCTACCAACGTCCAGCGGTTAGATTGCATGCAACCAGCAGCCTAAAAGACTAGGTCGATTCTAGATGCAAGGCATCTCAACACAACGGCTAGTAACGTCAGAATGTGTCCGGCACGCAGACGGTTGCTTTTGGGAAAGAGTCTAGACTGGATGACGATGAAGAGTATGGAAGAAATACGACTCTCTCGAGGTTCCACCAACAAAAACTTTGACAGTCCTCCAAACGAAATGGACCGTACTCTGGCGGTATGCTGATTATAATTATCGCAAATTCAGAACGGTCAAGCTTCGCATCGCAATCATCAATAGGTAAGAGGTGTTTGCTGATGAGACCTCTGACCCCCCTGCATGTAGACGCGTTCAGTGTCAGCGTGATATGCCGATTTTGACATCTCATTGGCAATCTCCCTTCACTAGACTCTCCTCTATCCCAGGTGGCGCCCACACTTGCAGAAAACCCGCATGAGCTAACGACCACGTGACTACTAGTAGGGGCTTATTTCTTCTCATATTAGCAGAGCACGAATGAGCGTGCAAAACCAGGATCAGCTGGTGTGGTGGATTAAGCGCGGCTCTGACGGTGGAGGGCACTATTGAGAGACCGGTCCTCCGCCCGACTCGTAAGTGAGACCGTTGAGATTAGCAGAAAGGAATATTTTCACCGTCATGAACAAAGGACATGTTGGAATGTTCCTGATGAGTCGCGACTGGCGAGGCTTTTGATGCGTTGTCAACGTGGCGAGGCCGATCAAGCGCTCAGCCTCAAACTAACCTGAAAAGAGCCGAGGTGATGCACTTAGCCACACTTCAGCTTGCTGAAGACGGACCTTCCGGCTCGACGGCATAATGCCACAACCCAAGAAGCGAACCTGCAGGATTTTCGTCAATGCATGAAGATGGTCACGAGAATAGCAACAGGAGTTGCAGGAACCGTTGGTCGTGCCTCGCGAAAATCGCTCAGAGAAGCATGACTCTTCTGCATGGGCAGGCCGCCTGTTGCCCTGCGGGTCCTGATTGAACGGTCAGACAACCCTCGACTGTGAAGGCTTCTCAACGAATGTGCTTTCTGGCCTGTTCAAGACAGGTGCATGCGAGCCCTGAGTGCCTGTATCGGTCCTTCTCGAGTGCGATGGAGTATCCGATGGCTGATCATCGCGTGCTTTGAACGGCTGAATGCACTCGGGGGGAACACTGGTGTAGCTGGACGCATATTTTCGCAAACGAGTGTCGTCGCGACTTGACGACTGCATTTGTAGGCAACTCGCTAAGTCTTCAACTTCAGCTCTCTATCATGCCAGCCCTGTCACGAGACGAGTGTGAAAAATTGATAGCAAACACGAGGCTTTTGGCAAGGGTTGCTGAGCATCTGAAACGGCATCAAGTTGGTGGGTAAACGACGGGCAAGGGCAACCTGATAGCCAATTGGGCATTCCGCTTGGCTGGCGCGCTCCAGGTCTGTCTACGAATCGTCACCCACCATGGCCGTTCAGCAACTCGACTGGCTGCCCCCAATCTTCAAGCCAAAGACCTCCACCCGCCTATCCAGGCGCAAGCGCCCGTAATAGCCCACCATGTCTCCGTGCCGGATCAGCCCAACTTTGCAAGGCCGCCGACGCCGGTTCTTTGCAAGAATAAGTCTGCGCGTATTGAATGTGTCCGTCGCGACGTTATACATATGCAAGCCTACGCACCCCGCAACCGCAACAAGCGTCAAAACGCTCCTAACCAACAGATCGCACCGTTGAGCTTACCAGATTCACTATACTATCGCATCAGCCAGGACTGCTTCATTTGCGCATCTGGACTGGTCCTCCGCTTTCAAGACGGCTCATCCGCGAAAGCCCCACTGAGGCGACTCACGGTGGAAGCCCCGCGCTTGGACGGTTGACCCTGAGGGAAGAATAGACGGGACGCGTGAGCAAGCTCGAGTATAATATCACTCGTCGTCTCGTTGCTCCCTGTACGTGTCGTTGTCGATTTTCCTGGTCCTAACTGCGATATCCCTGCACAGCCCCAGCTCGGGCTTTGCCGCTGCGCCACACCCATCTACGATCCTCGGGCCCGCCGATAGATGTGGCACACGAGAAAGAGTCTGAAGACCTCACCGTAACTCTGCACGGGGACGTAGGACTGCATGTACTTTGTGGCTGGATGACTTATATTGATGGACTTGCAATCTCACGTCTTTGTAATATTCCGAATCGCCACCCCCGTCCCGTTATTCTAGTCTTCCCGCCATCAGCCGCTCGCACCGTCAATTCGCTTCACGGCTTCCCGAGCTGAACCAGCTGACAGTTCCGGACTTTCGACTTTCTGGTACCCTGCGTTCAAGTTACTCAATTCAAGAGTCTTACAGGTGGAGAAGCACATGCTTTCATGAGTCTCTCGGCGCACACAGGGTTCCGTTGTACATCAATCCGGGCTACACAGGGTTACCCGAAATGGCTTCCTATAAGTCACAATACCCTCCACCTAGGAGGACGGAGGACCGGGCGCCTACTACTCGGTTGCCTCAACGATCTATTACTCCTACCACTATCACCACAATCACATCCAACCCACCTACATCAAGCCAGTCTAAGCTGCAAAAGAGAAGGCCTTCAAGGGATGACGAGTTAAGCTCAAGAGGTCTTACAGGTCAACAAGGCTCTACGCAAGCAGCCAGCTCTCGTCCAAGGAAGACCAGCCGGTCTACACCTATGTTTCCTCAACACTCAAGTGTTACAACCTCGAAACCTTCGCCGCAGATCTCGACCTCAAGATTACCCAAGCTTGAAGTTCCTCTAGGTATACGTACGCCTTCGCTCGCCTCGGGCTCATCCGCGTCGACCATTGAGAGCCCTCGCTCGAATGTACTCAGGAGAAAACAAACAAGTGTTGGAGCCGCAAGTGGTCGGCAAGCCACGCGGATAAGAGACGACTCTATATCGTCCCAAGATGACAGGCAGTTGATGGAGGGCATACCTGGAGGATATAAAGATCCTTTCTCGGAGACAGTCCTGGGAATCTCTTTACCCCCATCTTCGACTATCCTAGCTCGTTCAGAGGGACAGATCGACCCGTACAGTAACCCGCTCTATGATTATGAGATTGGCCCTACGGACATACTTCCCCTCCCAACACCGCAGTACGCTCTCTCTGCAACACCCTCGACTCGATACTCAGATTCACCTGGACCTTTCAGTGTATCATCCACTCCTACGTCGATGTCGTCCTACTCGCCGGGGACAACATTATCCAGAGCCTCCAACCGAACTCGGCAAGCCAGTCCACTGCAGAGCAGGCCACCAGTCACTCGGCACAAGACTCCAGATGAAACCAACACCCGTCACCCTCACACACTTTCTACCGTCAGGGAATCCTCCACCTCGTCATCATCCGCGTCTACCGTTGTTACGGATGTAGCGAAGCACAAAGATGTCCAGTCCCCTAATGGCCTCGCCACCTTACCCCAAAGTCCTCGAGTATCTGAAGTTATATATAGCGCAGAAGAGAAATCTCGTATCCAGGCACCTCCGGAGTTTGCTCATCTTGCTGATCAGTCACCTGCATCGGTACCGACTGCAAGGCGACCTTCGAGACCAAGTAGAGATGGTACTCCTGAACTATCTGGACTCCGCGGTCCATCACCAATAATCCAAAGCAATATGCTCAACTTTCCGTCTCAACACAAAAGGACTCCCTCGTCTGAATCTAGGACTGGCCTCACTTATGCGAGATCTAAAAGCAATACATCAGCCAAACCTTCATCACGAAACCCTTCGCCAAATCCCGCTTCGGCATTGCCGACAGCTACCAGAGCACAAGTTCGTGGACCGACACCTGATTTCCAGCATGATCGAAAGCCACGAAGGACCAGTACCGGACCTGCACCAGCGCCCGCTCCTGCTCCAAGCCCGAGTAAAACCTCTAGATTCGGGTTCTTCACGCGTCGTACCAAGACTGAGCCTACCCCAGTAG